TGTCCAAATACTTCTTTAAAACGTCTTCAGTTGATCCAAAATGCTGCTGCCAGAGTCTTAACTGGAGCTACTGGGAGAGATCATATCTCTCCAGTTTTAGCTTCTCTCCATTGGCTCCCTGTCAAATCCAGAATCAAATTCAAAATCTTACTTCTAACCTGCAAAGCTCTCAACAACCTAGCTCCATCTTATATTACAGATCTTATTGTTCCATATTTTCCTAACAGAGCACTTTACTCTCAGGCTGCAGGTTTACTTGTGGTTCCTAGAATTTACAAAACCAGAATGGGAGGCAGATCTTTCAGTTATCAGGCTCCTCTCTTGTGGAACCAACTGCCAATCTCTGTCCGTGTCTGACACATTATCCAGTTTTAAAACTAGACTTAAGACTTTCCTTTTTGCTAAATCCTATAGTTAGGGTCGGCAAACTGACCACACTTTTCACTCTGCTGCTGTCTTTACTTACTCTGCTCAACCCGTTTTGTATTTGTAATTATTTTTTCTATCCTTAACATGTGTTTTTTTTTTTTTTGTCTTTCAGATACACCTGGACCTACCATTCTGTGTTCGTCTGTCTCTCCTTCCTGTCCTCTCAACCTGCCGGTCAAAGCAGATGACCTCTTGTCCTGATCCTGGTTCTGCTGGAGGTTTCTTCCTTTTAAAAGGGAGTTTTTCTTTCACTGTTGCCACTGTGCTTGCTCAGGATGGGAGACTGCATCTAAGTCAAGATTCAACTTGTCTGCTGGATTCCTTAGATAGAGAAATTTACTAATTGGCTTTTAAGTATGTGAATGTTCCTGTAAAGTGCCCTGAGACAACTTTGTTGTGATTTGGCGCTATATAAATAAACTGAATTGAATTGAAAAATGCATGCTCATCTGCTCACACAGACTCATGTTCGTGCTGCTATTCGAAGCATTGCTTTTATGCTATTAGTGCTTAGTGTATTATTTAGGGGCAACTGTGGGTGAGTGGTTAGAGCAGTCGTCCTCCAAGGCGAGAGTTGGGGGTTTGAATCCACCAGCAGTCACATGTCGAAGTGTCCCTGTGCAAGACACTGAACCCCTCATAGCCTCCGATGTGTGTCCCATCAGTGTATGAATGTGATAAAGCTCTGATTTGTCTCATTAGAATGATTTGTTCAATTATTTTTGTAGAGATCTAGTAGAGTGCTGTATGAATGGGTGAATGAGGCACAGATTGTAGTGGAAAGAGCTCTGAGTGTCTCCATCAGATAGAAAGGTGATATACAAGTACAGTCCATTTACCTTTTTTTTATTTAGCTGATGTTTTTCTTAGTTCATATCTTAGATCTTATTACTGTTTTTTTTTTTATTTTATTTACATTTTATTGTTGGATGTAACTGGGACCCTGTGTACATAATAAATACACACATATACACACATATATATATACACACATATATATATATATATATATATATATATATATATATATATATATACAAACCAGATTCCAAAAAAGTTGGGACACTAAACAAATTGTGAATAAAAACTGAATGCAATGATGTGGAGACGGCAAATGTCAATATTTTATTCGTAATATAACATATTTGACAGATCAAAAGTTTAATCTGAGTAAATGTAACATTTTAAAGGAAAATTTTGTTGATTCAAAATTTCACAGCATCAACAAATCCCAAAATAGTTGGGACAAGTAGCAATAAGTGGCTGGAAAAAGGAAATTGAGCATACAGGTCCTTCTAAAAAAATTAGCATATTGTGATAAAGGTCATTATTTTCCATAATGTAATGATAAAAATGAAACTTTCATATATTTCAGATTCATTGCACACCAACTGAAATATTTCAGGTCTTTAATTGTTTTAATACTGATGATTATGGCATACAGCTCATGAAAACCCAAAATGCCTGTCCCAAAAAATTAGCATATCATGAAAAGGTTCTCTAAACAAGCTATTAACCTAACCATCTGAATCAACAACGTAACTCTAAACACCTGCAAAAGATTCCTGAGGCTTTTAAAAACTCCCAGCCTTGTTCATTACTCAAAACCACAATCATGGGTAAGACTGCCGACCTGACTGCTGTCCAGAAGGCCATCATTGACACCCTCAAGCAAGAGGGTAAGACACAGAAAGAAATTGCTGAACCAATAGGCTGTTCCCAGAGTGCTGTATCAAGGCACCTCAGTGGGAAGTCTGTGGGAAGGGAAAAGTGTGGCAGAAAACGCTGCACAACGAGAAGAGGTGACCGGACCCTGAGGAGGATTGTGGAGAAGGGCCGATTCCAGACCTTGGGGGACCTGCGGAAGCAGTGGACTGAGTCTGGAGTAGAAACATCCAGAGCCACCGTGCACAGGCGTGTGCAGGAAATGGGCTACAGGTGCCACATTCCCCAGGTCAAGCCACTCTTGAACCAGAAACAGCGGCAGAAGCGCCTGACCTGGGCTACAGAGAAGCAGCACTGGACTGTTGCTCAGTGGTCCAAAGTACTTTTTTCAGATGAAAGCAAATTTTGCATGTCATTCAGAAATCAAGGTGCCAGAGTCTGGAGGAAGACTGGGGAGAAGGAAATGCCAAAATGCCAGAAGTCCAGTGTGAAGCGCCCACAGTCAGTGATGGTCTGGGGTGCCATGTCAGCTGCTGGTGTTGGTCCACTGTGTTTTATCAAGGGCAGGGTCAATGCAGCTAGCTATCAGGAGATTTTGGAGCACTTCATGCTTCCATCTGCTGAAAAGCTTTATGGAGATGAAGATTTCATTTTTCAGCACGACCTGGCACCTGCTCACAGTGCCAAAACCACTGGTAAATGGTTTACTGACCATGGTATTACTGTGCTCAATTGGCCTGCCAACTCTCCTGACCTGAACCCCATAGAGAACCTGTGGGATATTGTGAAGAGAAAGTTGAGAGACACAAGACTCAACACTCTGGATGAGCTTAAGGCCGCTATCGAAGCATCCTGGGCCTCCATAACACCTCAGCAGTGCCACAGGCTGATTGCCTCCATGCCACGCCGCATTGAAGCAGTCATTCATGCAAAAGGATTCC